ACACCGAGTTGTAGCTAGTAACAGTTGTAAACACTGGACACACCGAGTTGTAACTAGTAACAGTTGTAAACACTGGACACACCGAGTTGTAGCTAGTAACAGTTGTAAACACTGGACACACCGAGTTGTAGCTAGTAACAGTTGTAAACACTGGACACACCGAGTTGTAACTAGTAACAGTTGTAAACACTGGACACACCGAGTTGTAACTAGTAACAGTTGTAAACACTGGACACACCGAGTTGTAACTAGTAACAGTTGTAAACACTGGACACACCGAGTTGTAACTAGTAACAGTTGTAACAGTTGTAACTGGACACACCGAGTTGTAACTAGTAACAGTTGTAAACACTGGACACACCGAGTTGTAACTAGTAACAGTTGTAAACACTGGACACACCGAGTTGTAACTAGTAACAGTTGTAAACACTGGACACACCGAGTTGTAACTAGTAACAGTTGTAAACACTGGACACACCGAGTTGTAACTAGTAACAGTTGTTTGTAGACACACCGAGTTGTAACTAGTAACAGTTGTAAACACTGGACACCGAGTTGTAACTAGTAACAGTTGTAAACACTGGACACACCGAGTTGTAACTAGTAACAGTTGTAAACACTGGACACACCGAGTTGTAGCTAGTAACAGTTGTAAACACTGGACACACCGAGTTGTAGCTAGTAACAGTTGTAAACACTGGACACACCGAGTTGTAACTAGTAACTTTGTAAACACTGGACACACCGAGTTGTAGCTAGTAACAGTTGTAAACACTGGACACACCGAGTTGTAACTAGTAACAGTTGTAAACACTGGACACACCGAGTTGTAGCTAGTAACAGTTGTAAACACTGGACACACCGAGTTGTAACTAGTAACAGTTGTAAACACTGGACACACCGAGTTGTAACTAGTAACAGTTGTAAACACTGGACACACCGAGTTGTAACTAGTAACAGTTGTAAACACTGGACACACCGAGTTGTAACTAGTAACAGTTGTAAACACTGGACACACCGAGTTGTAGCTAGTAACAGTTGTAAACACTGGACACACCGAGTTGTAACTAGTAACAGTTGTAAACACTGGACACACCGAGTTGTAACTAGTAACAGTTGTAAACACTGGACACACCGAGTTGTAACTAGTAACAGTTGTAATCACTGGACACACCGAGTTGTAACTAGTAACAGTTGTAAACACTGGACACACCGAGTTGTAACTAGTAACAGTTGTAAACACTGGACACACCGAGTTGTAGCTAGTAACAGTTGTAAACACTGGACACACCGAGTTGTAACTAGTAACAGTTGTAAACACTGGACACACCGAGTTGTAGCTAGTAACAGTTGTAAACACTGGACACACCGAGTTGTAACTAGTAACAGTTGTAAACACTGGACACACCGAGTTGTAGCTAGTAACAGTTGTAAACACTGGACACACCGAGTTGTAACTAGTAACAGTTGTAAACACTGGACACACCGAGTTGTAACTAGTAACAGTTGTAAACACTGGACACACCGAGTTGTAACTAGTAACAGTTGTAAACACTGGACACACCGAGTTGTAACTAGTAACAGTTGTAAACACTGGACACACCGAGTTGTAACTAGTAACAGTTGTAAACACTGGACACACCGAGTTGTAACTAGTAACAGTTGTAAACACTGGACACACCGAGTTGTAACTAGTAACAGTTGTAAACACTGGACACACCGAGTTGTAACTAGTAACAGTTGTAATCACTGGACACACCGAGTTGTAACTAGTAACAGTTGTAAACACTGGACACACCGAGTTGTAACTAGTAACAGTTGTAATCACTGGACACATCGAGTTGTAGCTAGTAACAGTTGTAAACACAGGACACACCGCGTTGTAACTAGTAACAGTTGTAAACACTAGACACACCGAGTTGTAGCTAGTAATAGTTGTAAACACTGGACACAACGAGTTGTAACTAGTAACAGTTGTAAACACTGGACACACCGAGTTGTAGCTAGTAACAGTTGTAAACACTGGACACACCGAGTTGTAGCTAGTAACAGTTGTAAACACTGGACACACCGAGTTGTAGCTAGTAACAGTTGTAAACACAGGACACACCGAGTTGTAACTAGTAACAGTTGTAAACACTAGACACACCGAGTTGTAGCTAGTAACAGTTGTAAACACTGGACACACCGAGTTGTAACTAGTAACAGTTGTAAACACTGGACACACCGAGTTGTAGCTAGTAACAGTTGTAATCACTGGACACACCGAGTTGTAGCTAGTAACTTTTTAAACACAGGACACACCCAGTTGTAGCTAGTAAGAGTTGTAATCACTGGACACACCGAGTTGTAACTAGTAACAGTTGTAAACACTGGACACACCGAGTTGTAACTAGTAACAGTTGTACACACTGGACACACCGAGATGTAACTAGTAATAGTTGTAAACAGGACACACCGAGTTGTAGCTTGTAACAGTTGCAAACACTGGACACACCGAGTTGTAGCTAGTAACAGTTGTACACACTGGACACAACGAGTTGTAACTAGTAACAGTTGTAAACACTGGACACACCGAGTTGTAGCTAGTAACAGTTGTACACACTGGACACACCGAGTTGTAACTAGTAACAGTTGTACACACTGGACACACCGAGATGTAACTAGTAATAGTTGTAAACACAGGACACACCGAGTTGTAGCTAGTAACAGTTGTAAACACTGGACACACCGAGTTGTAACTAGTAACAGTTGTACACACTGGACACACCGAGATGTAACTAGTAATAGTTGTAAACACTGGACACACCGAGTTGTAGCTTGTAACAGTTGCAAACACTGGACACACCGAGTTGTAGCTAGTAACAGTTGTACACACTGGACACACCGAGTTGTAACTAGTAACAGTTGTAAACACAGGACACACCGAGTTGTAGCTAGTAACAGTTGTAAACACTGTACACATCGAGTTGTAGCTAGTAACAGTTGTAAACACTGAACACACCGAGTTGTAACTAGTAACAGTTGTAAACACTAGACACACCGAGTTGTAACTAGTAACAGTTGTACACACTGGACACACCGAGTTGTAGCTAGTAACACTTGTAAACACTGGACACACCGAGTTGTCAGTCCAGATTTGGCGAGGTCATCATACGACGATGTCGTTCAAGGTATACTCATGAATACCTGTTGAAAGAAGAGGATCCTCCATTTTCCCTTGTGATGAGAGAATGTCCTTTTTGACTGTGTTGTTTTTTCGATCACAAGGGATAACTGTTTTTACCATGATAGTCCTCATTTAATTATTGGCTTTTTATAAGACATTGGATTGATTGGTAAATGTTGACATTGTTTAATAATTACTTTTTAATATTGGTAGTGTCGACTTAACTCTCTCACTTTCACACCACTTTCCAGATACGAGTCCAGAAAACATTAGTGTCTCCATATCAATATTTCCAAATATTATGTCATCTTTCACTATTTATAGGAGACACATTTGCCAGCTGGATCCAAGACGTCAAGTCGGGTTTCCAGTCCCTCAGCAAATTGTTATGTAAGTATTATCAACATGTCTGACAGTTTTACTGAAATGACTGGATTTGATACCAAACTGCTTACACTTCATGCAAACGTACATCGTCTTTGGGATAATAGCATATTCAGTTTCATAAGGTAAATATTTTTTATATCATATGTTAAAGATAACAATCACACAGATCTTTAATCTCGTGTTTCGGTATCAAAATGTTTTTGAATTCATATTATACTTTCAAGTCCACAATACCTGTAATTATAACCCAAGTCCCATTGTTATGGAAGATTCCATTACATCAAGAGGTAGCTGATATGATTTGCTCATCTCGTAATTACGTAACGGTAACAAGGGAGTCTGCAAAGTGGGTTACAACCTATACAATATTCTGGAAGACAGCAAAGTGGGGGTACAACCTATACAACCCACTGGAAGACAGCAAACTGGGGTACAACCTATACAATCTACTGGAAGACAGCACATAGGGGTACATCCTATACGACCTCCTGTTAGACAGCAAAGTGGCGTACAACCTATACAACCCACTGGAAGACAGCAAACTGGGGTACAACCTATACAATCTACTAGAAGACAGCAAATTGGGGTACAACCTATACAATCTACTGGAAGACAGCACATAGGGGTACATCCTATACGACCTCCTGTTAGACAGCAAAGTGGCGTACAACCTATACAATCTACTGGAAGACAGCAAGGTGGTGTACAACCTATGCAATCTACTGGAAGACTGCAAAGTGGGATACAACCAACTGGAAGACTGCAAAGTGGGGTAGAACCTATACAATCTACTGGAAGACAGCAAAGTGGGGTACAACCTATACGACCTCCTGGAAGACAGCAAAGTGGTGTACAACCTATACAATCTACTGGAAGACAGCAAAGCGGGGTACAACCCATACAATCTACTGGAAGACAGCAAAGCTGGATACAACCTACTGGAAGACAACGAAGTGAGATACAACCTATACAACTACTGGAAGACAGCAAAGTGAGGTACAACCTATACAACCTACTGGAAGACAGCAAAGGTTAGCCGCCAGACATGCTATGTACACAAATACCTGTATAGTTGGGCTCCTGCTTGGTTACCAACCTACCAGCGCATGACACGGCTCTGTTCATTCAGATGCTAGGTGCAGTTACACTGACATACCACATAGGTTGGTATCAATACCGATGTTCTATACAGGTTTACAGACACGTACATCATCAAACCAATCGTCACATCGTCACTAATACGTATACCCACTGTCATCGTCACACACACGTTCATCGTCACTCTTCTCTCTCTCTCTCTCTCTCTCTCTCTCTCTCTCTCTCTCTCTCTCTCTCTCTGTCAAACACACACACACACACACTCACTCACTCACTCACTCACTCACTCACTCACTCACACGTTTTTCAATTCTCTTTACATGTATGCCATGGTATGAATACTCACCTCCCAGTGAGGTTGCTTTGCTGATCTATATACAGCCTTATCACAGCGTTATCGCCAGATGCCATAACGTTTAGAACTGTTTGGGAGTTATGGAATGTTGTCATTGGTAGCGGTGACCTTTGAGAAAAATATGCATTGCAATTTTGTTAATGATTTTGACATGCACTGCCCACTGTAGTAAGACATGTTTGTCAGTAACTAGCAGTCACTCAGTCTGGACACGACAGTTTAGGTCAGTTATAAACCTGTCAGCCCTTTCATCACTTCCATCGTAGTTTAGCATTACATATATCTGCTACAACACAATACGATAACACGGTCGCGAGCAGGCTGGAATCGTTTAATTGGAAAATGGATGCTATGATAATGAGACAGGACATATTCCAGTGACCTCTCCGAAATGTCAGTTGGTCGAGGTCAGTCCTGCGCCCTTAGAAACACCAGTGTTATAGCGGGGGCGACCGTGACGAGATAACACACCACCCAGTTACCACGTGCACCAGTTGTTGACACAAGTGGCATGGCGGTGAGGGTCATATCAACACCCGTCAGTACATGTGGGGTATACAGGTCAGTTCAGTATTATTCAAATCAAGCGTATTTTTACGCGGCCAGTCATCTGCAGGGTCATACCCTGGACATCACCTTATGCTGCCCTTTTAGCCGCGACCAATGATCGAAACAAGATCTATATTGTAAGTACTGCTACAGCGTCGTCAGATGATGACCTATACAAGAAATGAATATGTCGTGTTGCCTGTTGGTACACGGTAGTCACGTGTTGCTGGAGTCACGTTCTATTTTTGTAAAGAAGAAATCATTCTTAACTGCAGGTAACTGAATAAGCGTTTTTGTCTAACTGTGATAATCTTCAATCTGTGTGGATCCGCTACACACGACATGATATTTCCCCCAGTATTGGAAACTGATAGTCGGCAAATGTGTAACTGTGTACATCCCGTCAAAATAGGCTTACAATTGAAGGCTCTCTATGGGACTAGCACACTTTCCCTGGTAATGTGTGTTTAAACCTCTTTACCTTGACACATGGAGACAGGAAAACGAAGTTTCTACGTCAGGAGCTAACGGACAACAGGAGCCGCGCATTCGGATTTGTTCAGGAAGGTCCTGCCGGAGCGATAACGTGTTGAAACAGCCAGCCTGCATAGGCAAGAACAGTGTTGTTACTAGAGCGTTTGGTGCAATAACACACCACAACACACACGCACGCACGCACACACACACACACTGACTCTTACACACACATACCGTAACAAAGCCGAAACTAGATATCTTAAAAAAACAATTAAAGTCTCTACCAACCACATCTCCCATATATTTTACGTTTAACGGGCAATTTCACGTATGTTCCATGGGGACGTTAATCTTAATGCCCTGACTCAGGTTGTTGTTTTGACCTGTGTCTATCTGTTGTAATTAGGGTATATGATATCTGCAAGGAAAGGCGACTTAACGTCAGTCAAACTTCATTTTACAAGCCTTGACTTGTAAGGATTTCATCGAGGAATGGTAAAAGTGTTTTTGGACTTTCTTGTATAGTGGCCATGTATAACGCTTGTCCGTATAACCGTGCATACACTCCCTGTAATCAATACAACTGTCATTCATATCGGTTGGGCTCCTGTATGCAAACAATACAGTGGATGGTGATACTGACATCATTTGTTAAGGTGTAATACATTTGTGACATATCATAGCAATACATATACCTTTGTCTATGATACGGATGGGCAAGTCTGTTGGAAGTACAATTGTTACGTCAGTTTTGGGGTTTACCCAGGAACAGCGGTGCAAGATAAAATGACCAGTTTAATCAAAGGCCAGAAATAAATTTATGTATGCATGTGTGTGTGTGTACGTGCATGTGTGCATGAGGCGATTAGCAATGAAAGTTAAAGCCAAAGTGTCACCCTTTAAGAAGTTATTTCACACGGTTGGTGGTGCAACTGCTCCAGTTACCTGATGTGTAGAAGACTCCGCAGATAGATAAAACAGATGAATGCTAGCTCCATCAAACACCTGTGACATCTTTTGTCATAACCATTTGCATCTGTCTTTAACATGCCCCTGGTACTGACACTGTTGTTGTGCCAATCTGGCCAGCATGACCGATAAAATCTTGGAACCTTGTGGAGTACTGTGCAGTCATGGGACGAGCCAGAAACCATGGTAACTGGACCTTTAACCAGTGTCAAGCCAATAATTACTGTGTCGTTCCAAAGTATAGTCCAACTATACTTTGTTTTGCAACAAAGTCCCCATCTTCAAACACTGCCTCAAACTCTGGTAATACCGTCCTCATTAGTAGCAGTGAGACTGGCAAGCAGCGGGAGTAGTTCGTATGGTTTGTCACAATCAAGATCTCCAGTCAGACTTCAAATTTAAATTTTATGTTGAAAATGTTTCACTATTCACTTAGCGCAGTATAGATGTAAGTGTTTGGTAAAAGAAAATAACAGGATTTCAGCGAAAACTAGATGACTGTTTTACCACTCGTATTAGGAGTTAAAAATGACCATCATGTCGTCAGTGCGTGGTGGAGTTGGTCATGACATTTCTCTCTGAATAATTAAATATATCGGACTAAAAACTTTTTCGCAGAACCAGGTTGTTTTTGCAAAATCAGCAACGTTTGCAAGTTACTGTGTTTAAGTGAACAGTGAGAAAATATTTGGGTATGGTTTAACATTTCACAAATATTTTATCTCGTATATATATTATACATACATACATACATACATACATACATACATACATACATACATACATACATACATACATACATACATACATACATACATACATACATACATACATTATTAGACACGACATTGGTCATTACCAGTTGTATTCCTCACTTTGTATTTCAGGTGCGAGGAACACATGGTAGGGAAGGAGAGTAGAGACTGACGACCAAATCAATCACAAGTTTTGCTGAGGATCCTGCACCATTACACTGCATGTGGCTTAAAGTGTTCCATAAAACACGTGGCCGTACGTTCAGCGACAACCTGAAACACCGACCCGTTGGGCGTTGTGTACTGTATTCCCAGCGGTGTACAGCAGATCGAGAGTCTATCGTTTACAGGTGAATAGGTTATTTAAAGAAACTATGCGACGAAAATACTATTTTCTTGGTGCCTTAATAATTATCATGACTATCATTGCATTAAGGACACATAAAAGCACTCTCGGTGTGGTGTGGGACCCTCATATTCTAATTAGTCGACCTCGGAGAGGGGGAGGACCGTTTGTAAGACTTTTTCTTGAAGCACAAGACGAGGTGCTGTGCCCCAGTATCCATTCTTCTGTGGACCCCGTGGTTCCAGGATGTCAACTGGGCGGCGAACTTCTCAACAGTATTCGACATGTGTGATTATAAATGCCACCTGACCAAGGACAAGACACGTCTGGTGGGAAGTCAGGCGGTATTGTTTCATGCTCAAGACTTGGGTAGCCTGCCCCGGCAACGCCAGTCAAACCAAGTGTGGATATTTCATACTAGAGAACCTCCACCGAATGCAGCATTCAACTTTTACAGATATGCCAATGTTTTCAACTGGACAAGTACATATCGAAGTGACAGTGAAGTGTACTCCCCGTACGGTGGAACATTTAGAAGGAAACGTCCAAATCGTGGTGTACCAAACTTCGCCAGCACAAAGACTCACGGAGTGGCGTGGGTAGCCAGTAATTGCAGGGACCAGGCGCAACGGGGAAACCTTGTCAAGGAACTGAGGAAGTTCATTCATGTCGACACCTTTGGATACTGTGGTGAAATGGATCTTCCAGCAGACAAAACGGATGAAGTATTGAAACACTATAAGTTTTATCTGGCCTTCGAGAACAGCTACTGTCGAGACTATATTTCGGAAAAGTTCTGGTCGTCTCTGCGGCGCCACCAGATACCTATAGTAGCTGGAGGAGGAGATTACGCCCGCGTTGCTCCGCCTCACCTCCTATATAAATGTTCTTGAGTATCAAAGTACGGAGGAATTGGCAGGCTACATCAAATATCTAGATCAAAACGACGAAGCGTACAATGAATATCTAGAATGGACAAGAGAATACTTTGTGAGAAACACTAAATCTTGATTCAGTGCTGTGTGATATTTGTACTTCTATCCACGTTGATTTGAGGACTTCCCAAGTATACACAGACTTACAAAGGTTATATAGAAGATGATATCTGCGGAAGATGACATGTACCTTGGATTTCATTTGGCGTAAACAAAATAATCAGTGACCGCGGACAACTGATTTGTCTGACACTTCTATTGTTCACAAACCATCATTAGTAGTAGTTTATGAATGTGTTATAGGACTAATTCAGGACAGCCATCGTCCAAATATTTAAAACTAAAAACTATGTACTCAAGACATGCGAGACTTTATTGTAATTATTTATATGATGCTAATCTGTATTCTCTGCAATTTAATTATTGTCATTTTTTTGGTACTGAGCCTCACCTTCTGATTTCAAAGATCTTTTAATGAAATGTTTATTGAATCTGTCCACTGCAGTAAATACCTGGATGTGAAATGTACATTACAACACGTCAGACTTGCATAGTTATATCTGGTGCACGAGATTTCCAATGACATCAAGAATTGTTCCTTAGTGATTATTTACCGATCTGAACTGTTGGTTTTATATTCAGCTTCACTCCTATCAGTTTGGACTCAATTCATTTATCATCCAAAACTGTGTTCACAGGAATATCGCTTGTGTGAGATCAAACGATATCTCTAGGAGATATCGTTTTGACAGTAGATTTTAATACAATGCCCTGACAATGCTATGACGTCATGTACTTGATGACATCACAATGCTATGACATCTGCACTGCAAGTCTAATGGCAATTACCATGTTCAGAGATGTACATTTTTCATTGAAAATTAATGAAGAGTGATTTTGGATGATAAATAGAATCTCACCCTCGTGTCTTCTGATATCAAATATATCAACACTCGTTGATAAAAGTAAAAATATCCTCGGCAAGCCTCGGATATTTGTAACTATCAACTCGTGTTGATATAATTGATATCAGAAGATACAAATTGAATTCTCTATATGACATTATAACCTTTGTTGGTCGGCCCCTTAGCTAAGTGTCTGCCATCACATCAACTGGTCAAGAAAGTGCTATTGTTTTTTCTGTCTGTCCATTGATGAGTCGTCGCCTGTCCATTGTTGTCAAAAACTGTATATATACTTTATTTGGTATGCTCACATCTAGACGGTGAAGGAAAGAATACGGAGTCCGGGATTCCGACTGTCTGTGTTGGGACGACCACGAGGCAGGATAATGCCGCTCGTGGGAATCGCTCCCTGAGGTTGAGCAGGACCTCTCTCCACACCTCTTTTTATGTTTTGTGTATTTGTTTGTCATGTAACTAAAGAAGTTTGAGGCTAAACGTATTCCCTTCGTCTTGTCAACGTATTGTACGTATATTTCATCTTAAACATGAGCTAATTCCCCAGTTGTGCATATACCACGCGTTGACAATTGTATTAACACATGACGTGCCATGTCAAAAACGATGCTTTCCACCTGTGAAACGTTACGTTATATTTTACTGTCTAGGAGAGTGGGTTGAACAAAACACAGAACGCATTAGAAGGGACGTTTTTATGTGGGATTCCTTTCAGAGGGTGTGCATATTTTGGTCAATATTGTTAATATTAAACATTATATAATTAAACGTAGCTTCCATAATCCTGCCATACACGTTCAATGACGCTGACGGTGTATTTATGGATGACGAAAGAAAGGTCATATCGTATCAATCCTCGTTGGTTTGCAGTGTTATCCCAATATACTGAACGTAGATAAAATATTTCTATGAAAAAGATACATAGGCGGATCCAGATGCGAGGTGGAGGTGCCCATACCTGAGAGTACCACTTGGTTCGTAGGGAGAAACAAAGATGGCATAAATCTAGCGCATAAAAATCAAGGCCGGGGCAGAAATTTCTAGGACCGGGACTTCCAATATGGTGCTGCCTAACATACGCTTTGTGTCTTGTATATAGAGAAAAAAAGTTGTTGTCTTTTTCTTCTTTTTGTGATTCTCTGCCAAACCAGGATATGTTTTCAATTTCGTTTTGGAAGCAATAATCAGTTCTAGTCATACAAAGATGTCATTGCAGAATTGGTATGTCAGGCAAATGGACCTTAAATGAATAGCCCACTACTATGGACAGGGATGTGGTTGGCCACTGTCTTGTAAGCAGACCTTGAAACATCGAGAGTTGAAATCTGTAGCACTCCTATGGAGTCGGAGCTGATTGGGTCATGCACAATATGTGTTGTGAATATGCACATGTAATTTATGGCATTTAATGGCTTTACACTAATCACATCTGAATGTTATATTTGCCTTCTATAAAAAGGCAAATAACAACGAAAAAATGTAATAATCTAATTGAATCTAACTCTGTTTCACTAAACTGAAGGCGTTCAAGGGCAGGTTATTATACACTGTTTCGCAAGCCCCAGCCCAACCTTACCACCTCTGAGGGACTGCATGTTTCGATGTGTCCCTCAGCATCATATCTTTAGTTCTTACAGTAAACCAAATGTAATACAATGATCGGAGGCTTGGTGACTTGCTTGATTGCATCCTATACAAATTATGTGGATTGCTGCTCATGATATCGATCACTGGATTGTTTGGTTCAGCCTCTATTATCTGCAGGCTAACAAACTTAAGCTAAATACTTCAGTGTGCAGAGTACATTGTCAACATGTATGTATTAGACAGGGAATACACACTAAAGAATGAAGGACAACATTCTAACTGACCGGAATGTTTAATTTACATGATAAAACAATAAACAACAAATACAAGAATGCTTAGAAATGCATCAGAGTAATGAGCAGAGTTTTTCAGGTCAGTGAACTTCCTACAAGCATTATTACCGACACATCCCAGGATATTTCTGCTTGAGGCTATATGTGTCATTATATACATAAATACAATAACTTGTGAACTTTTTGGTATGGCGGCCATATAACTCACGGAGGAGGATATTTCTGCTTGAGGCTATATGTGTCATTATATACATAAATACAATAACTTGTGAACTTTTGGTATGCTGGCGGCCATATAACTTCTGGTGGCAGTTGTAACATAATGCAACCTTTGATGCAGTAATAATAACAATAATACATGTGTGGCAGATGTTTCTGTAGTTAGGCTCCAGGGCTGCAGCTAACGGCGACACAGGGCAGTTGTGATGAGAATGATTTTATAATAATGATGGATGAAGCTGTTGCTGAGGGGTCAAAAGGAAGGAAAAGATGAGCTTCCATCTCAGCAACAGCAACTTGAGTCCATATTAAATCAAGTAAATAATTTTAACAATAAATATTGAACAGTTTTAAATATCACAGTAAATATAACATGTTATCAATTTAAATATCAGGATAAAAGAGATATTGCACTTTGGAAAAATGCATGGGGAGCACATGGTTTTGTCATGTTTATTAATTTATACTAATTGTGAAACTGATTTATTAAACTAAATTGATATATTACCAGTGAAAGATTATTTTAATGTTGTACTATTATTATTATTTCAATGACATTTTGCACCTTTTATAGGAATTTATGCGTGAGTGAGTGAGTTTCAGCAACAGCAAGTGGAGTGGGGTGGAAAACAGGTGGCCAAAGTAAGGTCAGAGGACACAATAGCCAATTAGGAAGCAGGTAACACATCAAAGGAAGTCTTTGATATGACCTATAAATAGAACAGGGAAATCCCAAAGGATGGGTTATCTGGCTAATAATAGAGCGGAAATGAAGTGAAATCCTTGTTGACAAGGCTCCAGGAAACAGAAGGAAAAGGTGAAGATGTATAGAGAAGGCGTTCAGCGGCCAACAAAGACAATATAGAACAAATGAACATTTAACATATAATGATGTTTATGAGACATGTGAATAGCCGGGAAATGAATGATGGAATAAAAAATAAACACATTTGGAGCAATATAAATAAACCCTGCTGCACATGTAATAATAGTAATGTCCATTTATATAGCACCATAACTCCACCGTAGGTATGCTCATAAGCGCTAACAATGAATAGCACAGCACATTATTACCCCGGATAACCCAAGCTGCCTGTTAGAAGTTAGGTTAGTAGTAACTGGGTACCCGTTTTTCTGCTGGGTGAACAGCGTGCCAAGAATGACATGATGTATTCTGTCAGTGTGGCATTTCACAATGTTCACAAGCCTGGACTACACTTGGCTGTACACAAGCAATGGGCCCATACATTTCACTTGGACACTAGTCACTATAGTTGCCATGGAGCTATGGAGGGAGTTGAAGCCTTAATATAATATAGGTTTTATACATAACAGGATCTACTTGAATCCCATTTCATCACATTTAAGAATTTTCAGCTAAATAGAGTAAATATAGGTCAAATTATGCGACAGCATTGAATCACATCATAAACAGCTTCACAAGAAAATGATATGCAGAGTTCTGTGCGAGGATTTGTAACTGCATGAACAAGTGTCAAGATTATGTACCTCATTCCAAAGTAACACCTCTTTCTGTACCAGTAGATTGAAGTATTGACTTCTGGTAGAAAAGGCATCAGGGAATTCTGTGATTAACATATGATTATGTTTAATATTACATTGATGTAGGAGCTGACATGCCTTGATTAACAAACACTTCCTCTCTCATATCCATGAAACTCCTTATAGAGCTGTATGATGATAATGTAGGAGTTGATGCTCTTTTAGACAACAAGTTGCAATAGAATGAACTTTAAGTTCATGCAAACTAATCATATTTCAGGTCCCAACCCACCCCCTTCCTGTGCTAGTCTTCCAAACTACATGTACATTTCAGAATAGATGCTTGACATTATTCTGTTTGAAGTCATGGTGCTGGCATGGTTAGGAGTGAGTGATAGCCGTATCACCCCCTCAGGTTAGAGCCCAATGGTGCTGGCATGGTTAGGGTGAGTGATAAGCGTATCACCCCCTCAGGTTAAAAGCCTAATGGTGCTTGCATGGTTGAGGTGAGTGATAGCCACGTATCACCCCATCAAGGTTAAAGCCCAATGGTGCTGGCATGGTTAGGGTGAGTGATAGCCGTATCACCCCCCTCAGGTTAAAGCCCAATGGTGCTGGCATGGTTAGGGTGAGTGATAGCCGTATCACCCCTCAGGTTAAAGCCCAATGGTGCTGGCATGGTTAGGGTGAGTGATAGCCCGTATCACCCCACAGGTTAAAAAGCCCAATGGTGCTGGCATGGTTAGGGTGAGTGATAGCCATATCACCCCCTCAGGTTAAAAGCCCAATGGTGCTTGCATGGTTAGGGTGAGTGATAGCCATTATCACCCTCTCGAGTTCAAGCCCAATAATTGCTGGCATGGTTAGAGATTGAGTGATAGCCATATCACCCCCCTCAGGTTAAAACCCAATGGTGCTTGCATGGTTAGGGTAATTGATAGCCCCGTATCACCCCCTCAGGTTAAAAGCCCAATGGTGCTGCATGGTTAGGGTGAGTGATAGCCGTATCTCCCCCTCAGGTTAAAGCCCAATGGTGCTGGCATGGTTAGGGTGAGTGATAGCCATATCACCCCCTCAGGTTAAAGACCCAATGGTGCT